CAATGCCACAGAGGTCAGAAGAGGGCTTCAGATTCCCCTGGAACTGGAGTTAAGGATGGTTCGTAGCGCCATGTGGGGGCTGGGAATCGAACCTGGGTCCTCCGCAAGAGCAGTCAGTGCTCTTAACCACTGAGCCATCTCTCCAACCCCTACAAGCTCAAATTTTATCATGGTGAAAAATATTATTAGTTCTTCTAAGTCAAACCTTAGAGAAAGTATCTGCCGAGAACCTAAATCTGAAAAAATATCACAGTTTGCTTGTTAACAGTTCTGTTAAGTAAAGTTGTGCTTATAAGAAATATGACTCATTCGGCTCACACCTTTGTCCAGGTGCTTTTTCCTCAGTGCAGCCATTACACTTTTCCATGAAGAAAACATGTTATTGGCTCACAGAGGAAATGTGTACTCGAAGTAATAAATCCAATAAAAATGATCTTTATTGCTTCATCATGCCATTCTTAAGTGACTAACAGTGGAGAATTTGATGGCTTTAGGCACAGTTAGCAGCACTGCTTAGATGTGTGCTGATTTGCCAACAGTCCTAGCAACTATATCTCTTACAGCACCATCGAATGACAAACACTAAATGTAAATAATATTTTCTCACGTATCCCAAGCTATGTAATCTAGGATGACCTTCCTGCTTCTGCCTATCAAATGCTGATACTACAGGTGTGTATCTCCACACACAGTTTTATGGGGTGCTAGGGATTGAACCCAGGACACACATATTAGGCAAGCACTTTATTACTGAGCCCTGAAAAATCTTAAGTTTCAAGGTAGTTTTGATTTTGCAGATCCCCATCCAGGATCTTAGCGACATCAGGGAGCTATACACTCAATTTGATCTTGGATTGGGAGCAACTTTCCCTTCAGTCATATGAGAGCTGAGGATACCTGAGCAAAAACATTCAGAGGGGTAAATATTGAGGCAACTTAGATTATGATAGTGAATGTAAAAGTTAAGTCGGTGTCAGATAATCCTGACTATAAAAGTCATAGCAATCATTTGTACAATAATCCATCAGACACTCTCTAGATTGCAATAATGCTCAATGTTGTATTAAAAGCAACAGAAAAACAAATAATTATCAGTGTCCCAAACCACCACAAGATCATAAGCACCTTGAAGATTAGTGCCATAATGCAACAAGATAATATGCCCTGTGTAGAAGTATATCTGACATACTGTAGGTGTTCATTAAATTCAATGAATGAATAGACTAACAAATGAAAAATTAAGAAAATGTTCACAAAGTCAGAGCTTGACAAGAGGCAGCAAAAACAGGATGGTGTTCCAACAGCATAAAAGGAGTATAAATGAGGGAAGGCTGATACTGAAACTTGGGAGAAATGGAGGTGTCCAATGCATAGCATTCTTCAGTTTCAAGGTTGTGGAAAGGATAATTCCAGCACAACATTTACAAGAATTAGCTACAGCACCTAAGAATAATTGGATTGGAACATCAGTGGGTGTGTGTTACTGTGCTGTCTCACAAATCTCTGAATCTGTGTGTCATATCCATGGGGGAGTTATCAATATTTCCTCCTTCAGATTTTACCTCACAAAAGGCTAGATCTCATATTATGGAGACTGGCATTGACTTTTATTAATTTTTACATGGCTCTTTGAAAGACAGAGGGCCAGGCATAGTGGTGCACACCTGTAATTCCTGTGCTCAGGAGGTGGAGGCAGGAAGATCAGAAGCTCAAAGCCAATCTGGGCTACAAAGTAAGTTAGAAATCAATCTGGATTTTGTCTCAAAAGAGAAAAACATGAAGGAAGGGAGGAAAGAAGTGTATGCTGTATGAATTGAATTGCTGTTACTTCAATACATGGATCCTTCCAATTTTACATCTTCCCATCTAGGAAAATATCTTTCAGGAAAAGCCAACAGGAAAAAAATAAGGAAATAATTTTAAATGAGCACTTAAAGAAGCATAGAGAAGGGCTGGAAAGATGACTCAAGGGTTAACAGCACTGGCTGCTCTTGGAGAGGACTCAGCTTTGATTCCCAGCACCCAGATGGCAGCCATCCATAACTCCAGTTCCAAGTGATCTGACCCACTCTGCTGCCCTCTGTGAGGACTGCAAGACACAGGTGTACTCACATACATGCAGGAAATATGCTCATACACATAAAACAAAAATAATAAATATTTTTTAAAAAGAAACACAGTGATTAAGGTTCTAAAATTTTGTGACAATACGATCTTTACTTTTGTTGTCCACTTTAATTTCAGACCCAATTGAAAAATAACACTGAGGGCTGGAGAGATGGCTCAGTGGTTAAGAACACTGGCTGTTCTTGCAGAAGACCCGGGTTCAATTCCCAGAACCCACATGGCAGCTAACAACTGTCCATAACTCCAGTTCCAGGGGATCTGACAGCCTCTTCTGTCCTCCGCAGGCATTGCATGACATGGGTGCACTTACCTACATGCAGGCATAACACTAATACATATAAAAGAAAAATAATAAATGAAAAAATTTTTTAAAAAGAAAAATAACACTGATTTTTCTGACCTTAAAATTACCAAAATAGAATAGCTAAATTCCGAAACAATTATCTTCATTGTAAGTTTCCACGGCAAACCTGTCAAAGAAAATTCTATTATTCAGCCTCATATTTAAGAAAGACAGAAGTTATTTTCTCTCATATAAAATCAATTATAGCAGTCCATATTCTCCTGAATCTCTGACTGAAAATAAAAATAAAAGGAACTACTCTGAAAATAATTTTGAAGATTAACCTTCCCTGATCATCCTTTTGAAAAGTATGTATTGCATACCTTTTAAAAAATAGACCAAATCTGAATAGTCTGTGTTTAATGCCAAAGTTGTTCCTTCCTGAACTGAAACTGAAGGCAAACTAGCTCCTCCATTCTGTTTTTTTCCTTCTTTCTAATTTAAATTGCTTATTTTGTGACATTTATGCATGCATGCATACTGTACTTACATCATTTCCCTGCATTCCTCTCCTCCTTCCATCTCCTTTCAAGTTCCCCACTCTCTCAGTATCCTGGCCTCTTCTTCAATTATTATTGTTACATGTTATATGTGTGCATAATATATACATACATTATACACACACACATATATATATATAAAACTTACTGAGTCCATATCCCCTGTGATCAGCCCTCAACACATCCATTTTCTGCAGAATGGACAGCCCCCAGAACCCTTCCTGATTCTCTTAATCACAAGAAGCTACTCCCAAGTGTTGGTCCCCTAGTGCTGTGCTACAACTCTCTCACAGAGCTTTCTTTGCCCTACCCTGTATTTGAATTTTGCTCTATTCCTGTCTAATCCATACAAGTCTTCAAGTTCTTTGGAGGCAATGTCAGCATTTACTCATTTCTGTACTTGAAAGCAGAGAACTGGGTGCAGCGCACAGAAGCACTATCACCTTTTTTCACATGAATAAAAAGGAATGAGGAAAAGTAAGGAACGAATATTTGTTCGTTTATTAGGAATCTATCATGTACCATCACTTATATAAAGTATTTTCACAGATGTTCTTTTATTGTATGTTTGTTTGTTGTTTGGTTGAGACAGAGTCTCACTACATTACGCTGTAGTATGGGTCACCAAACCCAGCTTCACATATTATTTCATTTAGCCTTCCCCAAATTCCTTTCAGACTGGTGTTACTGACCTCATTTTACAGTCAAGGATATTGAAGCTAGGAGACCAAGAAATATTTTTTACCTAAAGTTTACAGCATAGTAAGAAGTACTATGTGTGTAAAAATAACAAAAGCAATGCAGGTATTATGCAGTAACAATGGGTCAATCAAGTTCAAAGAAAAGAAAATTTCCTTCTAGAGTGGATGATTTAGAAAGGTTTTATGGATGAGGCCACACCTAGGTGGGCCTGGCAAAGGTGGGATACTGCTAGCAGTTGGAGAAAAAAACATTTCCAAAATCCAAAGATTCATTTTGACACTCTTTTTCTAATCTTAGGCAGGCCCAGGGACTCTTCATTCCCCACTTAAACCCTGAAAAACTACATTTACAGCTTTACATAATTAACACATGAAAATGTATAGTATTTATTGGGGCTTATTATACAACAGAGGTCTTGCAAAAGTGCTTTCTATAGGCTACTTCATTTAGTGTTTCCAACATCTCATAACCAGCCTAATACTTCAGAATAAAGAGTCATACAATCCCAACAAAGAAATATGCAACTGACTATTAAGTGACCAGGACAAGAAAGAGTTGAGCTCAAATTCATCTGACTCCAGAGCCAACTCACAAAGCTATTGTATAATAGCCATTTCAAGCTGTAAAAACATTTGTATTCAATCCCAACAGAAATCTTAATTGAACAATATTAAGTTCTCAAGTTACAAAAGGACTTGAAACATTCAATACCATTTGAAAACTGAAACAAACAAGTAGCTATCACGGAAGGTAATAAAAGAAAGTTTTTCCCTTGTTCCGCAGTGTTTTGAACCATTGTGCTATTATCATTCCCATCTCAAGAAAGGATATAAATCATAATTCACTGCCACTCCCCTTCAGCCCTTCTTTGATGTTTGCTTTTTAACATAAGCCTTTTCACCTGCTCTTTCCTGGTGCTGTTTTTTCTCAGTTGCTCACCTCTCTCTAGAAACAGATCCTGAGGACTTCCCTCCCTAGTGCTATTTGATGATGATGGTGACGGTGATGACAATGACGATGATAACTACCCACAACTATGAGGATGACTACACAGACAAGCCAAACAACAGGTCATTTCAATGAGTGCTTCTTGCCTTAGCTGTCCTGGAAATGATAATGACTGCATTTACCATAATCCCCATTGCCATTTAACAGCTAGGTCTTTAGAATAAATGCAATACGGAAGGTCACTGAGAAATACTAGAATTTTGCTGCATCAAATGTATGCAAATATTTTGGTCTTGATTCAAATTCCTGAGTCAAGCAGACACATAAATACCCTCCTTACATGGCCATTATCGTCACCGCAGTGTGTGCAAACAAACACGATGCTAGGTCTGAAGGCTACTCTGTTCTTAACCCTGCATCTCTTGCAGGGGGTGAGAAGCTCAATGGTAAATCTGAATAACAATGGATATGAGGGCATGGTCATTGCAATTAACCCCAGTGTACCAGAAGACGAAAAGCTCATCCAAAGCATCAAGGTAAGAAGAAATGTTATTAGCCTCATATTTTTAACTACACTGCCAAGATTAAAATCTGCTTAGTTGTATATTTTTATTATATATTAGTATGTCAATTTCTCAATAAATTATTAACTAGTGAAGATAAAAAAGACTTTAGAGCAAGTAGAAAAATGACATTGTATCTTTAAAAAATTACTTTTACAAAGCCTAAATAGCTAATCTACATATGAGTCCTGGAAATTCATTATCTTACACATTTTTCCAGTTGTTCATGCTTTCTCAACTTTGAAAAAAAAAAAAAACCCTAAAAATCTACACATCTTATTAAAAAAAATACCACATTTTTGAAGTTGATTTAGTTTTGTTTGTATCAGTACAATAAATGTATTATGTAAATAGCATTTTAATATACCCTATATTCTTGATCCTCTCCATATTATTATGAGATGATTAGGAGCAAGGATTTTCACTCTTACCTAAAGACAGAAATTGAGCTATTTGTAGAGTCATACAATAAATTGCAAAATTGAAACCAATTAATTCCATATATTTTTATTATTACCAATTGGTAAAACTTTTCATTATATTTGATGTTCAGTACCTTCTTGCTAGATTTCTTTAAATTATTTCCTAAACAAAATTAGTATAACAACATATCAAATTTCAAACTCCCAATTTATGTAAATAATCCAATTTTAAGCAAATTCATTAAGTAAGCAACTTACAACAAGATCCCATTTTTTTTGTTCTTTCAACATTTTATTTTTATAGTTCCTGAAATACAAATCAAAATATATTTTTGTTACATATCACCTTAATAAGTTTGACATTCTTTCCAATAAAAGGTTAGTCAATATAGATGCTAATTTCTTTTTTTTAATGACACATCTTATTTTGGAGGAAAATGACAGGAAATGACAGGTCAAAATGATACATGGGATATTGTTTTTCATTTTTTAAGACCTATCCATTAAAATATAATAAAAATAAATTAACCTGTAGCAAAAATAAATTAACCTCATTGAAAAAATAGAAATATTTGGCTTGAAAAATAGGTTATGATTTGTTTTCAACTACACAGAGGAATACAGAGAATCCATCCAAACTATCTAACAGAACAAATTGCCTATTGCTCCTGGACTTGTTCTGTTCGACAGGGGAACAAAAGTTCATGGGAGGGTGCTGAAGACTCCCAACAGCCACAGGACCACTTACAAAATTAACCAAGATTCAATAAAGAAAAATAAATGACCACAGAACAATCACAACAGTTTGGAAGGTGGGTTATAAGCTTAGAACTACTTCAGCAGGAACGATATAGCATGTTCATAAGATTGTGAAGGTGAGAAAACTGTCATTCATACACAATCCCTGTGACACCACTTAGTTTCCAGAACACTAGGGACAACAAAACATATAAAGAGTAAATCCAAGTTGCTTCATTTTCCACCATTCCCCTGAGTATTTGATAAAGCCAAGCCACCTTTGGCCACTTGCCGGAATGTCTTTTCTTCTTATTCTCAATGTAAATACTTGCTTCTTGGGTCACTAAACAATTTTGCTTCTTCCACACTGTCCTCATCATAGGCTAAGTGTAGAGGAGTGGTACCCCCAGGGTCTTGGATGTTTGTGGATGTTCTGTAGGACAGCAGAGTATGAATCATCTCCAAGTGCGCTTCAGGTACACCTACTGTCTGGTGCATTGCTGGAGCCTCATAATGTCCTTAGCATGGGGATCAGCCCTGCCTTCTTGCAACGTGACAGCAGCTTCATGCTTGTTTCTCCAAGCCTCATAATAGAGGGGAGTGCAGCCATTTTGATTGATAGTATTCTCTTGCGCATCTTTTCCCAGAAGGGCTTTTACAATCTCCTCCAGGCTAACAGAAGCAATACTGTGAGGAGAAAACGAACCTGCTTCGTCTTTATTATTCACTGGCGCTCCAAGTTGCAGCAAGAATTCAACAATTTCTGCATGCCCATCTGAGCATGCCTAGTGCAATGCAATTCTGCTGTCCTGGTGAATTCTAGTAGCCAAGGATTCATCTACGGACAAGACAATCTTCTTCAAGTCTGCATGCTCCCTGCATAGGCCAGCCTGGGAACCATTAGTTTAGACACACTTGTCTCCAATTTGCTTTCCAAGGATCTCCCCCAGGCTCCCAATCCTAATCACTTTTATTCACCGGTACCCTCTTTTCCATCTCCAACCTAGCCTGCTGAGTGGAAGGGTATACAGGTAAATACACAGTTGTCTTCGGAGCACGTTTTACAGATTTGAGAAATACCATAAAATTATCCTATACAAGGGAAAAGGGCTTCGATTTACTTCTAGTTTGTGTACAGACTTTTATGCTCATTTTGCTGTGAAACTGCTACCACAATGTATTTTTGATCTTGTCAGGAAATAGTAACTGAAGCTTCTACTTACCTGTTTCAAGCCACCAAAGGAAGATTTTATTTCAGGAATGTAAGCATTTTAATTCCAACCACCTGGACTTCAAAACCTGAGTACCTGATGCCAAAACAAGAAACATATGACCATGTAGGTATTTTTATCTGGCTCCAAAACTGTTTTCTGTGCCTCTTAAAAAAGAATATTTAGAAGTTTTGGTAACTGCTGATCACTCTGTTAGAAATTTAGTTAATAATATATCTTTCCTTTATGCAGATGAACAGGTTCTTACTTTAAAATTTTTTTGTTTCTTGGGATCTGACTGTTCTTCTGTGTTTCAGGCAGATGTCATAGTTGCAGACCCTCATCTGAAATATGGAGACGACCCCTACACACTCCAATATGGACAATGTGGGGATCAAGGACAATACATACACTTTACTCCAAACTTCCTATTGACAGATAATCTGTCTATATATGGACCCAGAGGTAGAAATATCTATTTTATACTTTCTATTACCAATGGGGGAAAATATATTATCATTAATGCAATTTTTTCAAGATTCTATGAAAAGACAAATAAGCATTAATATTACTTTTTTTTTTTTTTTTTTTTTTTTTTTTGAAAAAAAAGTTACCCCACCAGTCTACCTGGAACTCACTATGTAGACCTGACTGGCCTCAATCTCAGAGATCTGCCTACCTCTGCTTCCTGAGTGCTGGGATTAAAGACAAGTGCCATCACCATGTCTGGTGTTCAACTTATTTCTTGGTGTATACAATTCTAATGAAATTAATCATTTACTGGCATCATCCTATTTCAACATTTTTAGCTAATGAAAAGTACCAATTTCTAGAGTTCCTCAACTCAGATTAGGATATGAACAACATATTTAATAGAAGAAAACCACATTCAAATAAGTTTACAGGTGGCAATGTTCTCTCACAGGCAGAGTTTTTGTCCACGAGTGGGCTCATCTCCGGTGGGGAGTGTTCGATGAGTACAATGTGGACCGGCCCTTCTACATGTCCACAAGGAACACTATTGAAGCTACAAGGTACCACTGTATTACAAATCTGTTCTTAAAACGTTTTACTTATGACTCTTCAGGTTTCTGTATAGGTTAGCAAAGGCTGCGTCAAGTGGTTGGGTGCTCATACAACCAATCACATATTCGAACTGTACTATCAGGTATAAATGTGTATCAAATCAATTCTAGTGAATCCACTTTGGGATGAAGGTCAGTCAGGAATTGGGACAGAAGAAAAATGAGATAGCTAAATCCCAAGACATCAGAGAATTATAATTCAATCCTACACACTCATTTATTTTTGTACTGTTACACTTTTATTTCTTCATACATTTAATACTAAATTCTGCATATGAGAGAAGACATGATATTGCTTTCTTCCCCCTTCCCCTTCTCTCTTACCTACTATTATATCCTTTTTTTTGTTCTACTCAATTCATAAGGTACTTTTTTAAGGTACATCTGCCTCTTTGAAATAAATTAAATTCCTAGAGCTTCAATGGTAAATACATTTTACCGTTAAATTGATGAAAAATTTATTTCTCAGAAGGTAATGGAGAAAATTGATTTTTTAAGAAAAACAATTCTGGGAGTAGATCTAGTAGACCTTATTTATGAACTGATAAGATGTTTAAGTCTTTAAAAATAGCAAGTGCTTAGAATATACAGAGTACTGAGAACATGAGATGTTTCCTCAGTGTCATGAGGAAATAAACCTTTGAGAGAAAAAGGTGATGGAAGAGGGGTACTAGAGCAATGCCTGTCCCGTCCTCTCTGTGGTGTTTGCTTGGTCTGCAGAGCTGCCTATAGAGTTTCAAGAAGGCTGAGCTGCTCTCAGATCCAGACCTCACTCCCACTTTCACACCACAAAACTATGCTTTGCCCAGACAATGCCTATTCAACATTTAAATATTTCTTCTCTAGATAGCTTTCTGCTCCTCCTAGTTCAGGTTAGATGCCTTGGGGAGAGCTCCTGGGCCAACCTGTGTGCACTTCTCTCAGACTTCTATCAACCAGCCCTAACTTAGATCCAATTATATTCCCAATAAACTTTCATATCCGTAAGCCCTGAGGGTTTTTTTTAACCCTCTAGCAATAATCCTAGTATAAAGCCAAAACTAAACAGAGAATTACCACATGATAAATATGTGAGTTCAACTTTGGGGCTAATCCTAGAGCTAACTCTCTTTAAAAATATTATCATCTCACTTATCCTTACAATTCTAACAAATCTATGAAAATAAACTAATATCATAAAGCTTAAATGGGAAGACATTCTGCATATAAACAGAAATCTTTTAGAATCCTTCCCCTATATCCTACCCCACTCCCCCAGTCCCTGCCAGAGACTTGACAATTATCTTTATCACGAAGCTCAATGGTTTGATGTCATTTTGCTTAATTTCTTCTTTCAATCTAGCTCATTGATTCTTAAATTTAAGTTGCAAAATAATATAATCTTAAAATCATGTATATCATACATGGAAATTTGAGAGGATTTTAAACATAATTTTGACATTCCTTTCCCCACTAAAAAACCAATTCCTGCCGGGCGTGGTGGTGCATGCCTTTAATCCCAGCACTTGGGAGGCAGAGGCAGGCAGATCTCTGTGAGTTCAAAGCCAGCCTGGTCAACATAGTGAGTTCCAGGACAGCTGGAGCTACAGGGAAACCCTGTCTCAAAAAGACCAAAAAAAAAAAAAAAATTCCTCTGTAACTCTTAAGCTCATTTAATCTTTATAATATCCAAGAAAGTTTGAAATTACTGTTGATAGCCCAAAACCACAGATTAATTAATCTTATTAGCAAATAATGAATGTTTATTGAGTATGAGATGAAGACACTATTGTTATTGAAACCAATAGTAAGCAAGGGTGGAATATTGTGCCCACGCCTGTCAAAATGCAGTGTTTGGTATGTGACAAAGGACAATGATTGAGGGAAAGATTTTAGGGTGTTGGTCTTTAATTCCTGACTTGCCTGGGTTCAAAGTGGGAGGGTGTGTTTGGGTATGGTGGTGCATGCCTTTAATCCCAGCACTCAGGAAACAGAGGCAGGGGAAACTCAGTATGTTCAAGGCCAGCCTGGTCTACAAAGCAAGTTCCAGGCCAACCAAGGCTACACAGTGAGAACCTACCAAAAAAAAGGTGGGGGATGGGGAGGGAAGGAAGTGGGGAAATGAACTTTAGCTGAGGATGCAGCTGTGTGGGAGAGTGCTTGGCTGGTATGCACAGGTCCTCAATTCAATACCTGGAACCACAAAAATAACCTAACTCTTTTATCATAGATGCTCCACTCATATTACTGGCAAAAACGCAGTCAGTGACTGCCAGGGAGGCAGCTGTATAACAAGGCAATGCCGTCGTAGTAACGTGACAGGGCTGTACGAACCAAAATGTACATTTATCCCAGACAAATCCCAGACTGCCAAGGAGTCCATAATGTTCATGCAAAATCTTGATTCTGTAAGTACTATTTCTTGACTCATAGAGAAGTTCTTGAGAAAAATTAAGTATTGGATTTTAATACTTTGTTTTTAAGTATTGGATTGGATTGTCTACTGTGATAGTGTGTACTAACAAAGGGGAAGAAAATACTCATACAATTAGTAAGGCTGTTTTTCTAGCCCATGTCAGGATGTGTCTGGAAATTATCCTACCCTTTCTTATTAACCTGAGTCTTTGCAGATGTAGCTCTGTACTCTTCTCAAGTGAGTCATAGAATGAATTATTTTGATCTTATTTTTAATTCTCTCAAATGTTGCTTCTACTTCTTTTCTAAAGTAATGTGCAATGGAGTTTTCAACTGACATTCTAAATTTTCATTATCTTCTCACTAAAGTACACAATTATGAAATGCTAATATTATGAAAATGTAGATGGTACTGTCTCCACAGAACAGATGGAAGAACAAAAGTTCACAAAGCTAATGTGTGACCTAAGGTATCTGGTTCAAATATATAAAGTTTGATGGGCAATATCAGGTGTGTTGGAGTCAAATGGACTTAGTACAGTTTGAAACCCAACCTGTCATTTGCAAGCTGCCACTCAGGGAAAACTACTACATCTGAAATTCAGTTCCTTCATCTTTTAACTGGGAATTAAAATATGCATTTCACTTTATTAAGTTTATGAAATAATATAAAACAAAGTATTAGCACAATGTTTGATGCAAGGTAGGTACAAAATAAGTTTAAAATTTTTAAATTTATAATATATTTTAAAAATATCTAGATGTCATTTTCCTAGATAACCCATTCTTATTCTTTTTTATTTGTAATTGGCACATAATTAGTAATTTTAATTGAAACACAATAAATTTTATCAGATACAGTATGAAATTTCAAGAGAGGTATACAGTGTGTGGTGATCAAATAGGAGCAATTAGCATATTCTGCACCTAAAAGGTTATCCTCCTTCTATGGGAAGAACATTCAAAATAGTCTCATCACACTATTCTGAAACATAATTAAAGTGTTGTTAACTATGGTCACTCTATTGTGCTGTGGGACCCTAGAACTTATTCTGGCACTCTAAGTAATTTTATACCTGTTAGCCAACCCCCCTAGATCTCCTCCTTCCCACTCCCATACCCAGTTGCAAGTAACCAGCTTCAACATATGAGCACAGTAACCCAGCATTTGGCTCTCTGTGCCTAGTTTATTTCACTTAGCACAATGTCCTCTCGGCTCATTTACGTTGAGGGAAATGATAGTGCTTCATTCCTTTTATTACTGAATAACTTGTTTCATTTTATTTTGGTACTTTTGAGACAGGGTCTTCCGTTGCCCCAGCTGGCCTGGAACTTGCTATGCAGACCAGACTGGCCTCGATCTCACAGAGATCCACCTACATCTGCCTCCTGAGTGCTTAAAGGCATCCACCACCATGTCCAGCTATAATTAAATAATATTTTATTGCATGTGTATATATGCCACATTTTATTAGTTCATTCATATACTGATGGACACTTAGGCTGAGTCTACATTTTGGATACTGTAAATAGCACTCATCTAGCAGGGGGATTGCTTGGTCATATTGTATCTCCCTTTTTAGTTTAGTTTTGGTTTGGTTTGGTTTTTTATATTTTATTTATTATTTCTATTTTATGTGTATGTGTGTATTGCCTGTGTATAGGTAAGTGCACCCATGTCGTGCAGTACCCGTGGAGGACAGAAGAGGCTGTCGGATCCCCTGGAACTGGAGTTACAGACAGTTGTTAGCTGCCACGTGGGTGCTGGGATTCAAACCCGGGTCTTATGCAAAAACAATCAGTGTTCTTAACCACTGAGCCATCTCTCCAGCCCCCTAGTTTTGTTTTGATTTTTTTAAGAAACTCCATACTGTTTGCCCTAATGAAGGCTGTACTCTTCCACATTCCCAGCAACAACACAAAGTCCCCTTTGCCAGCATCCTCTCCAGCATTTACTTGTTGTCTTTTTATTAGTCATTGTAACTGGAGTGAGATGGTATCTCACTGTGGCTTTAATTTGCACTTCCTTGACAATTAGTGGTACTGAACATTTTTTTTCATACTCCTTTAAGTCATTTACAAGTCTTTTCTCAAGAAATGTCTATTTAGATCATCCAACCACTTTTAATCAGGTTATTTATGGGGGGGGTTGCTGTTGAGCCCTTGAGTTCCTTATAAATTCTGAGTAGTAATTCCTTGCCAGACATATAATTTTCAAATATTCTTTGCTATTGTGAAGGTTGTCTATTTACTGTTATGTCCTATGCTGTGCATCCCAATCCTAATGTAAACATATTATGTTTGCCTAATGAAAGTTTATGCAAATTTTAAAATATTTAAAAATATGAATGTATTCAAAAATAGCCAATCAAAGTAACAGCTCAATTAAAAGAAAACGTTCATATACCAAATCACTAGCAACGTATACTTCCACAGGCAAGGATTTGCAAAGCCCTATGGTTTCTGATAAAATTTTTAAATGTTGTGGAACATAGGGATGAAAGTTCAAGTGAAATTATAAGCTTGAAGTTTTCTTCTAAAACCTGTAAACTACCTCAAGTTTTAAGTGGATGTTCCTCCTGGAAATATTTGGCATGTGATTCAGGACAGTTCACTTTAATCATTTGAAACTAGAACAACACAGGTTCATGTGACATACTGGGATGGTCAGAACAGAGACTGCCTATCCCACGTCACACATGGCTGAGGCATGTGACTGTCTGTGGTAACTCCCACTGCCTACCTGAAGCATGAGCAGCGAGGAAGAAGCCTATGTAGCTGAAATATGCGGGACAGCTAATCACATAAGACACTGTTCAGAGACAAATAACTGTTTTAGACATAGATCTTACCCAGAACAGAATTAACTTCTACTTACCATAATATACATTAAATACATTTCAGAATATGAATTCAGACCCAGGACATACATGATACTGAATGTCCTATTCCCTGATTTTTTTTCCCTTAAACTCCCATTTTTTCCTGTGTCAGGCTAGGCACTGTGTTAGAGCTAAGAACAAACACTTACAGATAAATCGTTCTGGAGAAACAGTTCCGTGAGTGCATAGAAATACCAGGACAAAACATGTAAAACAAAGTAGGAGGCTGAGGTGTGAACCATTGTGGTATGGAGGTTGGAAAATGGCTTCTGTGGGAAGACCACAGCAGCAGGCAGATAAGAGCCCTGATTCAAAAGCGGTGGCAGTGGCAGGGAAAAAGAGACCAGGCTTGGTGGGCAACAGCTAGAAGTGATGTGAGCACTGCTTTGTTTAGTCTGTATTTTTCCCCCATCCAGTACAACCCTGTTTGGGAGATTTGAATCAGAGCCATATTGGAAACAAAGCCAACTCTTAGAATGTAGATATACAGAGTATTCAAATGTAATTATTTTGTTCCTCTGAATCTGCAGAGGACATTAAAATGATGAAATGACCCTGTTAAAAGACAATTTCTATAAGTTTACTGTAAGATGATTTCCTTCCTGAATGCTGTGCTAGTTTATGAGAACACTCTTCCAACTTGCTCTTTTCAAAACCTGGAAGATTTTCACAGACTCTATAGTAATAAATACCCATTGGCAGAATTACCAGATATAATTCACCACTCAGAGAGAAACATTTCCTAATTTCCTCCCTATGCTCTTATTACATTTTCAAGAGTATTGTTTTATGTTAAAATTCATCAGAGCTAATAACAATTCGAGTTGTTGGAATACCCGTCCTCAAGTTTTGGGTCAAAAATAAAATGTGGAACATAGACAATTAAAGAAGGTCACTTATTCTACTCCACTTTGAGGAGATAGACAAAATTACCACAAATCCTAGCCCTTTCTCCTTAATTCTCATTTCCTTAATTGAGTTAACTTCCTTATTTCAAGGCTTGAACTTTCCAAAAATTTAGAAGGAAAGCAAGAATCTAACTTAAGTTTTTCACAGGTGACTACCACTGTTCATGTTTAAGAACCTCTAGAACAGTTAGGCGTACCTGCTGATAGCCTCACTCACTTTGCCTCCAAGCATGCAAAATGGAAGTCAGAATGTTTCATTATGAACTAGTTTTAAATGGCAGGAGATAAAGCTGTTCAAGATTAATGTGCTAGCTAGCTACATAGTTGCCCTCACAACTTATGTCATTATCATGCTGTAATTGATTTTTTTCAGGTGACTGAATTTTGCACAGAAGAAACACACAATACAGAAGCTCCAAACCTACAAAACAAAATGTGCAATCGCAGAAGCACATGGGACGTAATCAAGGAGTCTGCTGATTTCCAGGAAGTCTCTCCCATGACAGGAATCGAAGAGCCACCTCATCCTACATTTTCATTGCTCAAGTCCAAGCAGCGAGTAGTCGTCTTGGTACTTGATAAATCTGGAAGCATGAACTCAGTAAGACAGCTTTTTTCTAACTCTCTTAAGTATTTAATAGAAATATAATTTAATCCTGTTTTGGTTCTAACAAGCTAATGTTCACATATTTATGCTTTATTTAATTTCAGCACAACTAGTTTACATAGAAAACCCACTAGCAGACAATATGGTCAAATAAAAGTAATGGTTATAATCATGTTGTAATATTATTGATAATTCTTATCCCTTAATGATTAGTTCTAACTAACTAGAAAACAATGTAACTGAACAACAGCAGCAGCAAAAGTCAGATGCAATGGTACATGCCTATAATCTCAGCTACTAAGGAGGCTGAGGCAGGAAGATCACTTGTGCCTCTGAGTTTTAGGCCAGCCTGGGAAACATACTAAGCTCTCATCTCATAAAAAGGAAGAAAATAAATACATGAAAATTATCCATAATTCCATCATTGAACATATTTCACTTCATTCTTTCGTTTTTCTTAATGGGCTTGCTTTTCTCTTCAAAAATATAATGATATTTTGTATGTTTTATAATCTGATTTTTACATAATATACCTTAAACATGGTTCTATGAAAACATTTTTAATGATTATGTAATATGTACATACCAAAATTTAGTCAATTCCCTATTGTTGGACATCCTGGAGACCTACCCACTTAGTGTTATTTTAAGAACACATTCTAGGGCCTAGAGAGATGGCTTGGTGGTTTAGAGCACTGGTTGCTCTTTCAGAGGACTCAGATTTGGTTCCCAGCACCCACCTGGCAGCTAACAACAATCCATAACTCCATTCCAGGGAATCTGACGCCCTCTTCTGGCCTCCACAGGCATCGCATGCACTTACATGCATGAAGACAAAACACTCATACACATAAAATAAAAAATAAATTTAAAAAAGAAAAAATATTTATTTCCTTCAAAGAAGTTCTGAAATATATGATTGTTAGCTTAAAAGGTAGGGCTATTACAAATATAACTGATTTTTTAAATTTTTATTTGTCATTTTTATTTTATGTGTATGAGTATATTGCCTGCATGTATGTGAGTGTGCCTGTGTCATGTAATGTTGCAGAAGTCAGAAGAGGCCTTCGGATTCCCCTGGAGCTGGAGTTAAAGGATGGTTCGTAGCCGCCATGTGGGTGTGAGGAATCAAACTGGGTCCTCTGTAAGAGCAGTCAGTGCTCTTAACCACTGAGCCATTTCTCCAGCCCCAAATATAAGTGGTTTTTAAAAGACTATTTTTTAATGAAATGAAGAAGCTAAATCTTAAAATCTACAAACAAATTATTATCAAGATACACACTTCTTAAGCGATTTTTGTCCTTCATGAATCTGTCAAGTTCTAAAGAGACTCCAGAGTTGTTCACATCTTTCTTTTATAGAGAGGTGAAGATGGTGTCACTCGTCTCACTCGAATGAATCAAGCAGCAGAACTGTACTTAATTCAAATCATTGAAATGGGATCCTTAGTTGGCATGGTCACATTTGATAGTAGTGCTAAGACTGAAAATAATCTAGTAAGAATAATTAATGATACTGCCTATCTAGAGATCACCACACATCTGCCTCAACAATCTTCTGGTGGAACTTCAATCTGCAGAGGACTCAAGGAAGCATTCCAGGTACATGTTTAAAATTACTACCATTTGCCATTTACTACAGCTTTTAACTTTGCCCATTTATCTTTGGGTCATAAGTTCATTAGTTCCTCATTAAAATATTCTATGACCTGATCAAGACGAATAATTTGTGGAGGGAAAAAAGTAGCCTCTCTGCCTATCTATTTATAGCTATATCCACCCTGTTCAGTTTTCCAAGGTGTAATATTGAAATGCTGAACAACACCAGGGGAAGGGAAAAGAATCAGTGAGCATACTATAAACTTACTGAGCTTTCTGCATCCGATAGTCTGAATTTCTAAGGAGAAAATAATGAAACTGAGGAAACTGTGGAAGTGTGAAATTAGAAACATTTAATATTGTGGGTAAGAAATCCCTGGTTCATCAAATTAAATTGACATTTAAAATTCATGGAGCTGGGGCTGGACAAATTGCTCAGTGGTTAAGAGCACTGTCTGCTCTTGCAGAGACACGGGTTTGGTTCCCAGCACCAACATGGCAGCTAACAACTGTCCATAACTTCATTTTGACATTTAAAATTCATGGAGCTGGGGCTGGATAAATGGCTCAGTGGTTAAGAGCACTGTCTGCTCTTGCAGAGAACCTGGGTTTGGTTCCCTGGGCACTGCACAGTATGGGTGCAGTTACACATGTGCAGGCAATATACTCATGCACATAAAATAAAAATAGTAAATAAAATATTTTTTAAAGAGTCCAGCTTTCACGGGCATTGCACAGTATGGGTGCAGTTACACATGTGCAGGCAATACACTCATACACATAAAATAAAAATAGTAAATAAAATATTTTTTAAAGAGTCCAGCTTTCAAAACCTATACATCACACTTACTTCTACATGCCAACCCAGCTTGGAATGATAATGCAGTTTCCTTTTGCTTACTCTTGAGACATAAGACTAAAGACTACTCCAAGACTACAAAACAGTTTATTCTTAGTTTTAATGTATTCAGAAATGATTTTCTGTAATTAATAGTGTGGCTTTTATTATCAGGCAATTACTTCCAGTAATCAGAGTACTTCTGGTTCTGAAATCGTATTACTAACAGATGGGGAAGACAATAGTATAAGCTTATGCTTTCAGGAGGTCAAACAAAGTGGTGCCATCATCCACACCATCGCTCTGGGACCCTCTGCTGCCAAAGAACTGGAGACTCTGCAAACTATGACAGGTAAAACTTTGGAATACAGTCTGGACAGATAATAAATTTATAGTTTTTCCCATTCCAGATTTCTTATAAACTGTAAAGCTGCTCAAAAATTCCTTGTCTTAAAATTAGTCTTTGCTGCTTCCTGGTCCTTCAGAATATGCTCTTTTCTTTCCTCCATCCACTTTTTTTATACCAGCTTCTCAAATTATTCAATATCTGCTATTTTCATTCTTCACCTCGTTTCTATCAATACCGCTAGATGCTTCTTTCTCTTTGATAACTCACTTCAAGTCCAAAATTATTACAGTTTCAAAATACTGTTCAATCCCACATAAAAGACCTAGATAGCCTTATTTTACAGAAAAGAAATGGAAACCTAGAGACTGCAAATGATTTCCATAGAGTCCTGATAATCTACTGAGACCTCTTTCCATCATCCACCATGCTCCCACCAAGTCTTATTGAACTTTGCTATTTCTATCCAGTTCTACTAACACATTCCAATCCTGACTACACAACCTTCTGTCTGGAGTACTTCAATTTTCTGTCTTGCCTTTCTGCTATTTATCTTTCCATAAATGTGGAATTAATGTCGTATTTGCAACATCATTTGTCTTTTGCAATCTATTGTTTCCTAACTTCTCACATCACATTGAAGTAATCTGTCTCCCCTAATGCCTACATTGTCTATTTATTCAATTACTCAATTTTACTTCATTCTAAACTGTCATTATCTAATTGCATCTGGTGTGTTTTTGATCCAACTATAGAATATGCCATTGATTCATAAGAACTGCTTACATTTCATTCCTATCACATTACACAGCTCTTAGACAAGCATGAACTTACTTTCGATGACTGATCTAAAAACAATTTAAATTATTTAAATTTCCCCTTATTTTAAGCAAGGTTCTAGTTGCTATGGGATTATAATTGGGACATTACCACACTGATGGTCTTGAAAAGTCATCTTTTGTATAATTTAAAGAAATATGAAGGCAGACTAGTAAATATGTCAATGACAGCACAAAAGTAAAGATATTCCCATTTAAAATTCTTTAGGAGGACGTAATTTTTCTCCCCAAAAAGATGCAAGTGGCCTTATTGATGCTTTCAGTGGAATCTCATCTGGAAGTGGTGACATCTCTCAGCAGGCCCTCCAGGTCAGTAAAAATTCTTTATTTTCTTATAGTTGCAATACATCTCCATTACCCTAATTATTAACTATTCTTTCTATAACAAATAACTGCTACCTAAAAATATTTCAGATGAATAGAAGAAAAATATCTACACTGATTTTGAGTCCTCCATGACTTATAGCTACCACTTCTCTTGTATTTTTCTATTCCTTACATATGATTTGGGTTGGTAAAATTCTGTAGTGCTCAGTAATTTTTTTTTTTTTTTGGTCTTTTTAAGACAGGGTCTCTCTGTAGCCCCAGCTGTCCTGGAACTCACTATGTAGACCAGGCTGGCCTTGAACTCATAGAGATCCACCTGCCTCTGCCTCCCAAGTGCTGGGATTAAAGGCGTACACCACCATTTTAATGGAATTTCTGTGTGTGTGTGTGTGTGTGTGTGTGTGTGTTATGCCTGCATGTATGTAAGTGCAACCATGTCATGCAGTGCCCACGGGGGACAGAAGAGGGTGTTGGATCTCCTGGAACTAGAATTACAGTTGTTAGCTGCCATGTGGGTGCTGGGCTTTGAACCCCGGGTCTCTCAAAGAGGAGTGATCTTTCACCACTGAGCCATCTCTCCAGCCCCAATTGAAATCTTAACAACAAATTTAAAATTTCTCTGAACAAAACTTCAGAATTCCACCATAATAACAAATGGTTCTGTGTTTGTTTTTATTTATGGAACAGTTGGAGAGTAAAGCCTTGAATGCTGCAGGGAAGGGATGGCTAAACGGCACAGTGCCTGTGGACAGCACCATTGGAAATGACACCTTCTTTGTTGTCACCTGGGCAACACAAAAGCCAGAAATTGTCCTTCAAGATCCAAAAGGAAAACAATATACAGCCTCAGATTTCAAAGAAGATAAGTTAAATATTCAGTCTGCCCGTCTTCGAATACCAGGCATCGCAGAGGTAGGTCTGTTCTTTATTTTCACCATTAATCAATTTGCATGCTTGAAAATAAATGCTTTTAATGTTAAAACAATAACAAATCATTTATCATAAAAAACAAGTTAAATAGAATACATA